GGGGGAGCGCTAGTCCTTTGGTGGTAGCGCGACTGTGAGGATCGGTGTGAGGCGAGGGGGGGGGGGGTGGGGGGGGTGGTTGGGGGGGGGGTGGTCTATGCGAGTCTGGGGGAACGGGAGGGGTGATATGGATGTGTGTTATATGATGATTAGTCTAGAACGAATGACTCTCTATGACGAATCACTGGTGTGTGCGCGGGCGCACATATCTCTCAGGGTGAGACATTTTTTATTTTGACGCAGGCACCGTGAAGGCAAGATGCTTCGGCCCGCCGTCTTGTATGCTTACATCTATAGTGGTATCTTAGCGGTGGGGAGCGCGTCCGTGAGTATACAATCATGCTGGAGATGGCGTGCCCGCTCCGCGTGGCGCCTGCGGCTCTCTGCGCAGATGTTGGGTAGTATATACTCATTGCCAGGGGCATTCCCAGAGGGAAGTCGCCCGTCTGCCCGCAGGCACATGCGGCAGTACCACTTCGCATTTTTATATTGCTAGGGGACCATATCTATGAGCTAGGCGTACGCGGTGAAGGTGATAAATTGAGTGTTTTGGGCACTGGGCGCCTCGTGTGCGAGTGGGCGGAGCTCGGTGACAAGGGGATGGGTGTCCGGGCTTCGCTCTGGGTGGGTGCAGCACAGAGACAGAGCTGTTTAGCTCAGTGTTCTACTCCGGAAGTTGTGAGAGATTATGTGTTGCGGCCGCGGTTCGCGCAGCGACTTGACTCGACGGGGTGGACGTGGCTAGTAGTTGTTGGGGACTGCATCTGGGAGCGATGTGGTTTTTGCCGAGTTTGGGAGACGCGCGGGTCAGATACAGAATTCGCAACAGAGCAAATATCAGCGAGCGAATTGCTCTTCTTGAACAAATGACTATGGACGGGGTGAGCTGCGATTGGTTCTCAGGGTGGAGGTTGGGGAGTGAATTGGAGGAGTGAGGGAGGAGTCGGAGGGAGTTCGGCACGAACTCTCAGCGTTGAGTCTATACAGGTACTCGTTTTGTGTTGTTCCAATATGCCGGCGGCCGTGATGGTTGAGATCGCGATCAGTGTTGAGAGGCGAGTGTTGGGGGATGTATCTCTCTGTAGGGGATGTGATCCGGCCTGAGGGTAGTATATTTGTGCACGGTAGCATTCGTGGGCTCTTAGAGAGAGGAGATATTGGAGGGCCGCTCTCGGTCTCTGCGTTATGGCAGTCATGCCTGCGTGGTGTCGCAGGACGTGGTATGCCAGTGTACTATCGGTGTGTGGGGTGTGTGCGTGGACGTTAGTGGCAGAGTCTGTACATGACTCGTGTAGGTCTAGAGCCTCTGGTGCCTCGAGATATTTTGCATATGGGATTAGGATGTACTGTGATGAGCTGGGTGCTTCTGATGCCATCTCTCAGGATCTCTTTGTATGAGCTTCGTTATAGCTAGTATCCAGCGATCTTGGGGGGCCATTGGCGCGTGTGATTTTCTATTGTGGTTTTTTGTTCCTGGTATCATATGAGTGAGGACTCGGCTTGTTTCCAGCTCTCTATGCGGCAGTTGATCATTTTGGCGTTATAGACGAGGACTGTGGAGGCTGCAGGGAAGGGTGTGGTGCGGCGGTGGGGAGCGCTGCTTTAGGATGACTTTTGATAGGTGACCGAGTGAGTTCGCTCTCTGTACTCATGTATGCTGGATCTGCTATAGTGAAGATGTATGGTGATGATGTGCTGGTGGATATTGCAGAGGGAGCCTAGTAGCGGATATTTGGACAGAGAATATATTAATTGCGCCAAGAGCATGAAGGTGCCACACCATGTTTCACAGTTGGGATGGGTGTTTCTTGGGGTAAAGGGCACCATGCCTCCTCCTCCAAACGAGAGGCCGAGCGGGCGGAAGGTTGGATATATGATTGTACGAGATGTTCCTATGAGTCAGGGTGTTTGGGTCCCTCCTCTGCAATCCACAACACTTTCGCACAAGGTCCCTCCGCTGCTTCTTTCAGATGGTTAGCGAGGTTGTGAGTCATAGACTTTCAGTGACGGGTGATGCCGTAGTGATGGACGATTTGTGGGGCCTGTTGTCTGTTGCAGGGGCGAGGGTAGAGGTTGACGGCGTGAGGTGGCGGGGGCGTGCTGTGTCAGGGGTGGCTGTTATCGAGTGGGAGGCCGTGGGTGGCTGGATGGGGGTGCTGTCGTGTGTGATGGATCAGGGGGGAGGAGTGTATTTGGATGAGTTGCCTGCTTGTGGGTGGGAGTGACGAGGGGAGGGGATCTCCGGAGCGATGCTGCAGTAGAGGACAGCCGAGTAGTTCGCGAGGGTGGGCAGGTCTTACTCTGCAGGGCTAGGTATGTGTCTGGAGTGTGCAATGAGTTATGTCGTAGCGAGCGTAGTGGAGTCATCTGTTCAGTGTTGGGCATTTTGATGCGGGCGGCGTCTTTGGGTGTCGGCGATCTGAGTGAGACAGTGATATCTGGTTATATCTCTTGTGGTGTGTCTGAGTGCTGCGGCTGACCGAGGTGGAGTAGCGTAGTGTACGGACGCTGTTGTTTGATGTGGGGAGTATATCATCGGGGAGTGCTTGCATATCTTGGTTGTGAGCGTGATATTGGGCACCGGAGACGGTGTTGGAGTGGACGAGCCGGGAGAGCAGGGCGTACGCGGAGATGCGCTGTGCGTGTGATGGGGCCGACTATTGTTGTGAGGGGTGTGAGTGCGCCGGATGACTGGCGGAGGGGCGCTGTGAGGATATAGTATGTGTGCTCTAGGCCTTGCGTGTGTAGTTCCGCGACGGCGATCGGAGGCCTTGGGCACATGTGGGCTCGATATAGTGAGCTCTGTTGTGATTTCGCGGACTGTGATGGGGGGAGTCTGTTTGGTGGCTCTGCTTGGATTGATAGTAGGGGTCATATATGCTAGCTGCCAGTAGGTATGGTATGGTAGCAGGTGATCTGGGTGAATGGGGATTACTGCATTATGTCTCTCGGGCGCAGAGTGACATGAATTGAGGATTGGCTATGTGGTGCGCACGGTTCGACTCCTTTGATACGTCATATACAGATTGATCTTGCGGTGACGGGCGGAGGCTCATGCTGGAGGGGCCATAGTGGGTGAGAGCTGCTTGATAGGGTGGAAGAGTCTCATGCTCTTGTGGGACACTCTGTAGGAGCTCTATTGCCAGGGGCCGGTCTAGATGAGGGGAGGTGTAGGTAGGCGGAATAGTTATGTGGCGCTTGGATGCGTCCTACTTGGAATTCGGATGTTGGCAGAACATATTGTGGGGTAGCGAGAGCGCGAGACTGATTAGTAGAGGGCGGGCGCTCGTGTAGTCTGCTATAGTCGATTTTGATGTGGTAGGTTCTTGTACTCAGCGGGGGGGGCAGTGTTACACCCGTATCTAGGCATGATCCGATTGTTAGATCGCGGATCAGAGTTCGAGTGTAGTGGCGAGGCGACGATGGTCAGTCTTGCTCTGTCTAGGGGGACTGTGCACTTGAGTGACTCTCAAGTGAGCCTATGACCCTGGATAGGGCAGCAACGCCTCGGAGCATGCAGTGAAGGTGTAAGCGAGTGCGCCAGTGATCGTTCCTTCTTATAGGGGGATCAGGGTTACTATCCAGATATTTTTAGGATTTCGTAGGACTCCTGCGCGATGCAATCTCTGGCGGCGACCGTTGCCTGGTATCGCGCTGGGGGGGCGCCGGCGGATCAGTCGCGAGGGGGGGTGTCGGGGGGGGGGGGGGGGGGTCGGGGGGAGGACTTCGGGTGGGCGTAGGGGGGGGGAGGGGGATGGGGGGGGACTGGATCCGTGTTGAAGGAAGTGTAGGTCAAGGCGTTGGAGGAGGTACATGATACTGTGATGCTATTAGGGGGTTTAGATGCGAGCGGAGGTAGTGTATGCGGTGCTTGCCCCACGAGTAGAGGATCTGCTTAGAAGGGCCACCGAAGCATGTCTCAGGGCTGGCGTGAAGGTTCTGCACTCAGTTAGTCCTTGCGTTGGTGCTCTCGGGTCTGGAGGGCACATACTGACTAGCTCTCCGTGGTGAGTTAATGAGTGAGCCTGTCCTGGTGATGGGAGCGCAGAAGGAGCTGATCTATTCTGATGACAGTGATAACATTTCGCGCAGCACTCAGGAGCAGGAGTGAAGGCTCGGTGGCGTCTAGCGCGCCCATTAGTGTATGGTAAGAGCGGATCGGTCACGTTGCTGTGTGAAGGAGAGGGGAGTGTGAAGGTGCGTGCTAGGCGTTCTCACGATTAGATGTATCCAGCGGTCTGCAGGTCAGTTAGCTTGATTCAAGCCGGAGGCTTTCTGATAGCGATCGCGCCGGCGTCGATGTTGAGGGTGATTAGCTGATATTTATGTAGATCAGGTCTATATCACGCTGTAAAGATAGATGTGATTGATCAGATCAGGGGTGTGCGACGAGGGGTTGGCACCAACTCGATGGTAAACTTCCTATTTTTTCTTGCGGGCGCCCTTGCGTGCGTTACGGGTGGAGACTGCTATTTTTTTTTAGGTCGATCTTTTATTAAAAGTGTTCACGGCTAAATTGACGTGTTTCTCGCTTGAGATATCGCGTATTGTCCGTCCACGTCACAAGAATTAGTGATGTGTGTGTCTGGTGGAGTTAAGCCCGCCGGTGAGGATCTAGAGCGAGCGGGGTGAGCGGTGTAGATGTTCAGTCGTTGAAGCGCTCCGGGATTGGAGATTCGTAGGCGAATCTAGTAGTAGGCAGAGATGCGCGCGGATTCACGTGCGAGGGATATGCAGGGGTAAGTACTGCATTGCTTGCTGTTCGTTCTCTCTATGGTGTGGGGGTTTGTTGTAGATGATTTCAGGGTGTGGTCAGGTTATGGTTGAGGGTTTTTTGTTAGTGTTTTGTTTGAGGGAGGGGGAGATCTTATTAGAGAGATCTGAGCAGATGCAGCGGGTAGACTTAAACGGAACCGAGGATATCGCGAGACACATCGCGGTACTCAGGTCAAGTATCTAGTTCTCTATCTCCGGGGGGCCTTTTTGGAGGGGGCCGGGTTTTCTCCTGGACTATACTGTGTGATGTCCTCATCTTCTACTTTCCAGTCTGGAGATAAAGTGAGACAATCCTCAGAGGTTTTCCTCATCTCCCGGCCATGGACTAAAACACAAAGACAAAGAGGATTACTAGACAGGAGCTGATTGGTTCCCCCAAACCAGGACTCCGCCCACATCAGGCAGCTTGGTCTCTGAGGAGCTTACAATTCCACCCTCAAGAGAACTAGGAAATGGCTCCTCTGATCTCCTACCAGGTCATTTCTTTATTCATGGACCTTAGTCAGAGAGTGAGGAAACAACCAGAACTGTCTTTTATAGGAGGGACAGTGATGAGGGGATTATAGGACAAGGGTCCCCACCCCCTCTATCACTCATCGCCATCTTCCCAACACAAGAAGTACTGCACTTCCTTATTTACTCCATGATTTAGTCATGAAGAACAGCGGGGCTGAGCCCCACCAGAGGTCAGAGAGTGAGGATGGGGGGAGAACAACCAAGATGAAGACTGGACTGATCCTGAAGACCACCATCATTGGGGTATTGACTCCTCCCTCATTATCACTTTCTGTTTAAGGGTCCAAAGTTGGAGGATGTTATCACATTATTATCACCATGTAACAGTCTGTGCTCCAATCACATCATCTGATATAAAATGTCCAGCTGGGAGGAAATGGGTGGAACAAAAGAGAATCCATATTATGCGTATATATAGCAGTGGGGGGAGGGGGAAAGCAGAAGTCAGGACTATGGAATGTACAACAGAGTATATAGCGCAGGGATCAGGAGTATGTAATGTACAACATGGAGTATATAGTGCAGGGGTCAGGAGGATGTAATGTACAACATAGAGTATATAGTGCAGGGGTCAGGAGTATGTAATGTACAACAGAGTATATAGTGCAGGGGTCAGGAGTATGTAATGTACAACATAGAGCATATAGTGCAGGGGTCAGGAGTATGTAATGTACAACATAGAGTATATAGTGCAGGGGTCAGGAGTATATAATGTAACAACATAGAGTATATAGTGCAGGGGTCAGGAGTATGTAATGTACAACATAGAGTATATAGTGCAGGGGTCAGGAGGATGTAATGTACAACATAGAGTATATAGTGCAGGGGTCAGGAGTATGTAATGTACAACAGAGTATATAGTGCAGGGGTCAGGAGTATGTAATGTACAACATAGAGCATATAGTGCAGGGGTCAGGAGTATGTAATGTACAACAACAGAGTATATAGTGCAGGGGTCAGGAGGATGTAATGTACAATATAGAGTATATAGTGCAGGGGTCAGGAGTATGTAATGTACAACATAGAGTATATAGTGCAGGGGTCAGGAGTATGTAATGTACAACATAGAGTATATAGTGCAGGGGTCAGGAGTATGTAATGTACAACATAGAGTATGTAGTGCAGGGTCAGGAGTGTTTAATGTACAACATGGAGTATATAGTGTATTTAGTGTTCATGACCCACCTGTGCTGATCTCTGTAGGAGTGTCCCCCTCTATAAATGTCCCCGTTATTCCATCCTCCTCCATAGACTGCTGATCATCCCTCACATACGCCTCTTCTTCTTCTGCTTTAATCTCAACTTTTATATTTATCAGATCTTCACCCTAAACCAAGAAAATTAGAAATTTCACTACTAACTAAGCTAACATGAAAAATCCAAATATTATCTCCACAAGTCCATGTTCTAGATGCTCCATCCCACCAACCTTGTAATGGTGAGGGATGGTGTGATCTTCCTGTGTGGAATCCCAGGAATACAGAGGACGGGGACATCTCTCTGGTGGGTTCCTGGTATTAGGTGGCTCCATCATATCCTTGTGTCCTTCTGAAAACTCCTCCATCACTCCATACTCCTCATCCTCCTCTTTATACTCTTCTTTAACATCAATATTATCATCCCCGAGGATTTCAATCTGAATGCATAATACAAAACCCATCAATGGTAACAATGCAGATAATGTACAGATCCTAATGCTACTGATAATGATCAGTGATTGGAGAATGTCCCAGAATTCCCGGCACATTGCTCACCGCTCCTGTCAGCAGCTCCATCATCTTCTTGGTGACTTCTAGAATCTTCTGCATGTTGTGGCTCTCAGGGTTTAGGGAGTCACATGGAGGCACTGTGATGGTCATATGATCACCTGACTTCAGAAGAGGAAATCTCTGTATTGAGGAACCAATAGGAATATCATGTTAGACTCCCAGAATCCTCCTCACCTGTCCAGTCAGCTCTGTGGTTTATTAATAGAGATGAGAGTGATGTCATGTGACCTCCCAGAATCCTCCTCACCTCTCCGGTCAGGTCTGTGTTTTATTAATAGAGATGAGAGTGATGTCATGTGACCTCCCACAATCCTCCTCACCTCTCCGGTCAGGTCTGTGTTTTAATAATAGAGATGAGAGTGATGTCATGTGACCTCCCAGAATGCTCCTCACCTCTCCGGTCAGGTCTGTGTTTTAATAATAGAGATGAGAGTGATGTCATGTGACCTCCCAGAATCCTCCTCACCTCTCCGGTCAGCAGGTAGATGATCTCCAGGGTGAGGTTTAGTATCTTCTCAGTCATGTGACTCCGGTCCTCCTCCATCCTCATTGGTACCATCATGTGATCTATACAGGTCTCCTTGTAGACGGATAACTTTGGGAAATGAAAGTAAGAATGATTTGGATGGTATTGGTCACACAATAATAGGATGTGGATGTGAGGGGGGAATAGGAGGGTTGCTGGACATTGAAGAACTACTCCCCCCATGGGAAGACATTTTGTTTTGGGCTGTTTAGTGTTTACTACAATTTTGAGGTCCGGGGCCCCTTTTCTCTGTTGGGTTTGTTTGGTCTCTGAACTGGTTTTGATGAGTATTAGATCTGCAGACAAGGAATGATAAATCTGATCCTTCCTATGACTAGTTTGCTCTAAGGCAGTGCTGTGAGGTCAATGTCGGCTCATCATGCAGGGATGGTCACTTTACATCACCCGACACCCGGGACATGTAGTTCTGGGGGCCGGGCAAGTATTGTTTTTAATCTTTATCCCTGCTGAGGGCAAGCCACAGGGCTCTCCTTTCAGGTGCCAGCCTCTGCCACCCCGTGTGTGTGAACCTCTCCTGTACCTACTATGCTTCCCCGGCTCTGCTTGCCCATCTGTGGGCACAATTCAACGGGTGCCAGAGGGTAGAGGGGACAGATGTCAGGGCTCTGTCCTTGGCAGAGGTGTTAGGAGACCTGGCAACCCTGCCAGTGCCTTGCATGGCCGCAGAAGTTCACATTGGCTCAAATTTGGTGGCAAACGGCCTTTATAAGGAAGCCCTGCACTACTCTCAAGTGCTGGTTGATCTTTGGCTCCCCGGTACCTTGTTCCTGTGCTACTGTGAACTGTGATTTCCTGTTCCTGTGCTACTGTGATCTGTGATTTCCTGTTACCGACTCGGTTTGCTCCTGGACCTGTCTTCTCTGCTTAAACCCTGACCTGACCTCGGCTTGGCTAACGGATATTCTCTCTTGCTCCTCTGTGTATGACCTCGGCTATCCCATCTGACTACGTCTGTTCTGATCTCCACCCAGTACTGGACCTTGGATTTGAACCGGCTATCCAGTAATCCTCTGTTCCCCGGAAGGGCTTGCATACCTCACACAGGCACCACCTGTCTGCAGACCTCATCTCAGTGCATCAGTTGTGCTCCAGGGTGGACCACCAACAAGCACTCCTACAGGCAACCTGTGCCACTTTGGTCCTGACTCCTGCTGTTCTAGACTTTGTGATAAAATTTTGAGACATAAAAAATAGAACTACCACTATTTTATTCTCTAAAGTCTCTACTTTCAGAAAATCGATATTTTGGGGGTTTTGTGTCATCTTCAGGCCTAAAATGATTTTTTAAACGTGTGCAAAAAATGCAAAAACGGCTCTGGGAGTGAAAGGGAGAAAGGATAAGCAGGACACGCCCCTTTCCTGAGAAGCAGCCAATCGGTTCTCATTACACTGCAAGGTCTCTGCCCTCCTGCTAGTCCCCGGGTGCAGTGCTGGAGACAGGCGGGGGAGGGGAGGAGGAGATAAACAGCGCAATGTTACACATATTAAATGTTTTAGTCACTATAAAGCCCCTTTCATTTTTGAAACCCCCAAACATTTCTAAAAGAGCCTCAGATTTATATACATTTTTTGTTTAAAAGGAATGTTTCCTTCCTCCTGAGCAGCAATGTAAGGGGCTCTATGCTCCATACTCCTGACCCCGGCACTCCATCATTGTGTTGGCTGCATAGTGTAATGATTGCCCATTGGCTGCCTGTGTAGTGTCATCATTGCCCTTTGTAGGCCATGTATGGTCAGGATGGTCCTTGTCTTGTCTATTTATTGTCAGTGCTGTTTGTTTAGAGGACCATATTACTAGAATTTATCTCCACAATGAGGAGAATGTTCCGGCCCCGGAAGTGGGGGATGTTCTGCCCCTGAAGGGGTTCATCTGGGTTCCCACACTATATATGTGTGTATCATCATCTGCTGGAGATAAAAGACGTCACAGTGACTATGGAGGAAGAGGACGGACATGACTATGGAGGAAGAGGACGGACGTGACTATGGAGGAAGAGGACGGACGTGACTATGGAGGAAGAGGACGGACGTGACTATGGAGGAAGAGGACGGACGTGACTATGGAGGAAGAGGACGTGACGTGACTATGGAGGAAGAGGAGGACCGACGTGACTATGGAGGAAGAGGACCGACGTGACTATGGAGGAAGAGGACCGACGTGACTATGGAGGAAGAGGACGGACGTGACTATGGAGGAAGAGGACGGACGTGACTATGGAGTAAGAGGACGGACGTGACTATGGAGGAAGAGGACGGACGTGACTATGGAGGAAGAGGACGGACGTGACTATGGAGGAAGAGGACGGACGTAAACGTGACTGGAGGAAGAGGACGGACGTGACTATGGAGGAAGAGGACGAGGACTATGGACGGACGTGACTATGGAGGAAGAGGACTGACATGACGGGGGGTTACTGGGTGTAAATAAAACATAACATCTTATTACCTCCTCTGCTGCCATGTCCACCAATGTCTCCTCTCTGATTCCTGTCTGTTCCTGACATCACTTCCTGTCTGTACCTGACATCACTTCCTGTCTGTACCTGACATCACTTCCTGTCTGCATTCCATAGAGACTTCCTGTGTGAGTATAGGTGAGATCAGCACCTTGTGGAGTTCAGAGGAACTGCAGCCCCGAGATCCATCCCATAATCCCCCTTCCTGTATAATATGTACCTTACAGGGATACTACGGGAGATGAAACATTACTGAATAAAGGAAGAAGAAATAAATGTAACTCTTATGTAACCAACTGTTCAACAAACATCTCTTATTACATATAGAAAAGTCTTACAAACACAGAACACAAAATACAAATGTATAGCTAATGAGAGCGATCCCGCCAAACCTGATCCTTCTGGGGGGGACAATGCAAAAATATACAGTCGTGGCCGAAATTGTTGGCACCCTTGATATTTCTCCAGGAAATCATGTATTTCTCACGAAACGTATTGCATTAACACATGTTTTGCTATACACATGTTTATTCCCTTTGTGTGTATTGGGACAAAACAAAAAAAGGGAGGAAAGAAAGCAAATTCGACATAATGTCACACAAACCTCCAAAAATGGGCTGGACAAAAGTATTGGCACCCTTTCACAACTGCGGATAAATAAGAATGTTACAAGCATGTGATGCTCCTGTAAACTCACCTGGGGCAAGTAACAGGTGTGGGCAATATAGAAATCACACCTGAAAGCAGATAAAAAGGAGAGACGTTCACTTAACCTTTGCATTGTGTGTCTGTCTGTGCCACACTAAGCATGGACAACAGAAAGAGGAGACGAGAACTGTCTGAGGACCTGAGAACCAAAATTGTGGCAAAATATCAACAATCTCAAGGTTACAAGTCCATCTCCAGAGAACTAGATTTGCCTTTGTCCACAGTGCGCAACATTATCAAGAAGTTTGCAACCCATGGCACTGTAGCTAATCTCCCTGGTCGTGGACGGATGAGGAAAATTGATGAAAGATTGCAACGCAGAATAGTCCGGATGGTGGATAAGCAGCCCCAAACATGTTCCAAAGACATTCAAGCTGTCCTGCAGGCTCAGGGAGCATCAGTGTCAGCGCGAACTATCCGTCGACATTTAAATGAAATGAAACGCTATGGCAGGAGACCCAGGAGGACCCCACTGCTGACACAGAGACATAAAAAAAAGCAAGACTACAGTTTGCCAAAATGTACTTGAGTAAGCCAAAAGCCTTCTGGGAAAACGTCTTGTGGACAGATGAGACCAAGATAGAGCTTTTCGGTAAAGCACATCATTCTACTGTTTACCGAAAACGGAATGAGGCCTACAAAGAACAAAACACAGTACCTACGGTAAAATATGGTGGAGGTTCAATGATGTTTTGGGGTTGTTTTGCTGCCTCTGGCACTGGGTGCCTTGACTGTGTGCAAGGCATCATGAAATCTGAGGATTACCAAAGGATTTTGGGTCGCACTGTAGGGCCCAGTGTCAGAAAGCTGGGTTTGCGTCCAAGATCCTGGGTCTTCCAGCAGGACAATGACCCCAAACATACGTCAAAAAGCACTCAGAAATGGATGGCAAAGAAGCGCTGGAGAGTTCTGAAGTGGCCAGCAATGAGCCCAGATCTAAATCCCATTGAACACCTGTGGAGAGATCTTAAAATTGCTGTTGGGAAAAGGTGTCCTTCCAATAAGAGAGACCTGGAGCTGTTTGCAAAGGAAGAGTGGTCCAAAATTCCGGGTGAGAGGTGTCAGAAGCTTATTGATGGTTATAGGAAGCGACTGATTTCAGTTATGTTTTCCAAAGGGTGTGCAACCAAATATTAAGTTAAGGGTGCCAATACTTTTGTCCAGCCCATTTTTGGGGTTTTGTGTGACATTATGTCATATTTGCTTTTCTGCCTCTGTTTTATATTTGTTCCAATACATACAAAGGGAATAAACATGTGTATAGCAAAACATGTGTTAATGCAATACCTTTTTTGTGTGAAATACTTGATTTTCAGGAAAAATATCAAGGGTGCCAACAATTTCGGCCATGACTGTATATCAATCCACTCATAATGACATCATCTTCTGGGAGTGTCTGCACATCCATCCATTTCATACACATTTCATTGTCTCAGCGGATCTCCTGCATCCTATTAGCACCCATTTCCCTTTCTATGTCTCAGTGGATCTCCTGCAGCCTATTAGCTCCCATTTCCCTCTCTACGTCTCAGCAGATCTCCTGCAGCCTGACTGCTCAGGGGACACATTTTTGGCTCCTCTGATTTTGCAGTAAATGTGATTCCTTTAGTCCCGTTGATTTTCGTATTTCCATGTAATAGAAGGTGTCACATGATGTCGGGTTCCCCTTTCTCTCCTCCCTGAGTGTGTATTTAGAGGCGGAGCTCCTGCTGGAATGGCAGTCAGAGGCGGAGTCTAGGAGGGAGACTGACAGAACCCGCAGCAGACTTGCAGGAGTGAGCGAGGAGGATCCGGTTCCTTTACCATCGGAGATGAGAGTGTGAAGGATGTTTCTGACTCTGGGAGGTGAAAAGCTGGGAGTCCTATTGGTGTGGTGAGGGGGAAGCACTACTAGGGGGGCGCCCTCACCATCCCGTGTACAAGAGGTGGAAGAAGGCGGGGCTACACTACAGCTGACACAGTTTGGAGGGCGGAGCACTTTCACACCTTA